GGTAAACTCAGAGTATACAGAGCCGCGACAGGGTCTAAAGGCGGCGGCGCCGACCTCGGGAGACGGATAGGGCCCGCAGCAAGCGGAGGCATGGCAGGGAGAGGATTACCAGGAAAGACCTGCGGTGATCATAGAGCCGAGGCGTAGGACGCACTAAGCTGACGGACGTCCATCGAAAACAGACAAAACGTACCAGCGGCAGGTGTAACGGCGGGACGATGAGATCGTCACGCACAGGCGTAACGGTAACGAATCGATGAGTAGACGAAGTAAGTGGGTCTTGGCCCCACGGTAAGCCGCCAGGTACGAGAGGAAACATAATGCTAACGGGTACTCGCGATAACACGATTACTCGATTCAGGAACACGGAAAATTATTACAATAAAACGGGGCGCGATCGCGCTTCCAAAAAATTTGGATATCACCGAAAAGGGCCTAAATTCGTTCGTGCGTGGTGCGTGGGGCTCGCTTAGGCGGAGAGCGTTACAAAGGTTGTAAGTGAGCCCTTCGTATCATACGGATGCTCGCCCCAACTAATCCGGCCCTTACGGTGGCGGGCTCTTTGACTTCAGAGTTGCGACTTGCAACTTTAGCAGTACCCGCAATTTGTTATGCAAGCAGTCGCCTCGCATCCGCAATTTGTTATGCAACCAGCCATAAAGGCCGTCAGTTCCGCTTGTAGAGCGGGAACCTGGTTATCGCGCGCCGCGCGAAGCATTTCCTGAACCTGTGCAGCTGCCGCAGCCTGCGCCGGCGTACGAGCCAGTAATCCGCCCGTAGACGGCGAGGCGCGCTGCGCGGCATCCGAAGTAGGTTCGGTGGGGAGATCGACGTCCATTTGTGCACGATTGGCAACAGGAGTATTATTAATATCATGTTCATTATTTGGAATAGCCAAAGGGCGTGCGTCTTGATCGCCAGAATCATTAGCCTCGGGCTCGGCTGGTGCCTGATCCTGTTCAGCAAGGTGCGCTTCGCGCTGTCTTTCATAAGATCGTTGAAAGGAAAGAAACAATTAAGCAAGCGCCGACGATCGGCACGAGCAAAGCGCAACTCGGACATCGCGTCAAGGAGGATCGAACTTGACCCTCGATACCAATGTAGCAGTCGCTTACCTGACGGGACGACTGGCTTTGCGGAAGCGTAGAGTTGACGGTCCTCACCGAGGCAGGAAGAAGTCCAACCCAGAGGAGGGTAGGATTCGGGCTGGAATTAGGGAAGAGCTCTGTCGCAGAATTAGCCTGGATTTTATTCCTGACAAAAGAATTGCTCTGCCGAGGTCTTGAATTGTTCTGGCGGACCCGCCGGAGGTATTCGAATTGCGCTGTGGAGCCTCGGAATTGGGCTGTGCTGGGCCTGAATTGGCCTGTCCGGGTGTCGAATTGGCCTGTCCGGGTGCCGAATTGGCCTAACAGGGTATTGAATTAGCCTGACAGGGTATCGAATTGACCTGTTCGGGGTGTCAAATTGGCCTGACAGGGTATCGAATTAGCCTGACAGGGTGTCGAATTGGCTGTCAAGTTGGCAGGATTGGCTGGGGCTGGCATCCAAAAGCACATGACTTTTAAGGAATTTACAGAAAAATTTTGCAAGAGGACCGCTTACAAGTGCCTCATGTGCGTATTAGTTTCGATCCCACGACAACTTGCACACCTGGTTACCGTACTCTGGCACTACTACTACTACCGGAGGCAAGCACTCAGGGCCACGACTGCATTACCCAGTCAAGTCAGCTGCCGAGGTCCCACTGTTTTCCCACCACACTTTATCGACAGTCCGTCCAGTTTATCCCACAACACTCGTACGCATGAATAGGTTCGGGTGGAAACAATGACAAATCTCTGATAAACCGCTAAACTCAATACCACGAGCTACATTGAAAACAAATGAAAATGCAGATGTCTGCCGAGAAGAATATGTTCGCCATATGCAATCTATGCCTTAATCCATCAAGCTCTCCGTTGGGCGGGGCATGGCCCATGAAGTCGCCCCCGGTATTCCGCCCATGCAACCAAACACTGACACAAAACGTTGCACGCCTGGGCCCATGTAAACCACGACACTTCCGTGTGGATTGGCTACCCGCGCTCCCCATGTCAAGGGGTCCTCCCTCCTGCTGTTGACTCCCCGGATTGCCCACGCACAAACGCCAAACGTTGGCGCAGAAAACAGACAGGCCATTGTAGTATGGCATCAAACCACGCATAACCCACAGCGGCTTTCAGCAGCAGTACTGCTTGGTGAATGCGACCGGCCGTGTACTGCCAGTCTTAGCACCGATGAACCACCCCCTGATGCCGCCGCTGATGCAGCAGGCATATGGGTCTACACCGCCGAGCTCTGACCAGTTTGTTTTGAACTCGCCTACACAGGGTTGTAAAACAAGGGGGGCATTTCTGTTGTCATATGGTATGATGTTTCATAGACGTCGGTATGTATAACATTATGCAATTGGGTGGGTGGGGTGAGGTGGGTTCCTCCTTTCTAGGTTGCCCACTCTTCCCTGCCACACATCTCACGTCGCCACTTACCAGTAGCACCACGCGACTTGACGCGGGGTGGCACATCCTCTGCTTCGGTGATGGCGGCTGGTGCACTCATCGGGACCACAGTTCCGCCGCGTCCTCGACGGTGCCAGTCTCCGCGTCCCTGTGTCCCTGATCCTCCACGGCCCCCTCCGATGCCGTTTTGATCTTGAACAAGAGGGATTTCGCGTCCGAGACGGTAAGGCCCGGTACATTCCCTCTCAGTGCCATGGCGGCGCGAAGCGGGGAGAGCTGGAAATCCTCTGCAATGAAGGACACATTGTCTTTCAAAACACCGTTCGCAAAGTTACCGGTTGTTCTCGGCACGGCACGGGGACATCGCCGCCCCACGTCTCTGGCACGGACTCGCGCTTTTCTCTCTGTGATCAATCTCTCACCTCGGAACAGTTCCCATGCTTCACCAACGGAGTAGACGCCGAGATCTTCTTCGAATTGATGACGCACAGCATCCACCCGTTCATCGTCCCCGTCCAGCACATCGTGGAGACACGTCGCGAGAGCCACGACATCAGACTATAGACGCAGCAGAGAATTAAATAAACCCCGAGTGAAGGCGAATGGCTGCAAGTGCACCATGGCGCATTTGCATGGTTGGAAGCCACAAAGCATGAAAAGACATACCGCATCATTTGGACTTCGTATCAGCTGGTCTCGAGGGTCTCCATCTTCCGCAGTGTCCTCCAGGGCGACATCTATAGCGGCCATTTACTCGCCACTCCTACCCGAAAGTAACCTATCTTCTATGTAATCAACGCTAAACGCTGAAGTTGGGTAGGTATGTAATACTATTGTAAGATTATCGACTGTGACATGCTTGCAACCCATACTTACATGCGCACCAAACTCTTGTTGTACGGAAGCGTGGTGTATGCATTAATGCATGACAGTGCGCGGCGCTGGAAATGCTTTTGGTATACTTATACATCTCTATGCCGTTGTTGTGCAATATCTAAGGCGTGTTCCTTTTAAAAAGCTGAAGGTATTTAGACAGTAGGGAAGCATTTCTAAAAATCTCGGTAAACCATTGTAATAAGTATGCCAGTTTATATTATCACCATAGGTTCTTGTGTCGAACGGTGCTAAATGAACCATGGTGCATGCATGGAAGTATTCGGGGCGGAGAAGTCTCAGGCCTCTGCTATGGAAGTCCTGGAGAAACGTCAGCTTGATTGCAGAGTCTGTGGACCCCAGCACACGATTAACTTGTGTTGCTGTGGCCACCCAGCGCCATGCACGGTCCTGTACCCACAATTTTGTGTTCAGGCGCTTTGTGGCTTCGATGGATCTAGCTGTGGAGTTAAGTATGCGTCCTTCGCAGCCTTCGCACCGGCAGTGTTGGATACGGATGCCGGTATGCCATGTTTTCAGACCTGTTGTCGCAGCGCGGGCTTCGAAGCACGGCGCCGTTGCCCGGTCCGTTACCCATGCCGGGCGCCCGTCCAGCGCGCCCCGCCTTCCTGCAACAACTAGCCGAGCATCGGCGCCGTGTTATCGGTGGGATGTCGTGCCCTGGACTGCACGACGAATGTTACGCCTGCCTATACGGCTGTTCCCAGGCGGGTGTGTTGGGGCCGCGGGGCATTGAGGCCGCCATCATGGACACGGGCGGCGATGCAGGGCGCGCGCTAGCCTGGTACCCCGGGTTGTTGATGGCATGGCGGTTTGATAAGGTCAGTGCATGTGGGTCGGGCAAAGGCAAGGCTAGCGTGTTGGTCTGCCTGACAAATGTTAACCCACATGGGAATCCTGACATGGCGCCACAGGCGGATACATTCTTCCGGGAGAATCAGCTTCCAGCATACTACGGCGAAATCGACTCCATCCGGTCCGTTGTCTGCAGTTTCTCCTCCGCAGCTGGACGGCCGTGTGCCGCGTGTCTGGCCCTCAACAGAAATCACTAATTGAAGCGTTCAGCTGATGCTGCTTCACTGCGAGTCGCTGCAACACAGCGAGTCGCGACAGACCCAAGTGTCATTGTCCCCTTCCACTCTGCCGAGGGACTTGAGCGTGCGGGACACGTTGAGCTCTTTGAGCGGCTCAAGGTGGTCACATCCGCATTGATCGTCGAGCGGGCAGATCGAATAGCGCTGGACAGGGAGATTAAGCGGCGGACATCCCTTTTCCAGGCTGATAGAGTGAGGCTACAGGCAAACGCTCGGGCAGATGCATCACGCAGTGAACTCGTCCGACTGCTCGAAACATCACAACAACGAGGTATGATGCAGTGTCGGCATGTGTGAGTAGTGTAGGCTGGCGTGCGCGTACACATGCCTTGACTTGTTAACCATCGGACATCGATTGACATTCAGGACTCGTTGACGGCACAATTCAACAATTGCTGCGGGGTATCATCCGGGGTCTCAGCGTCAAAGGACAACAACGCCAGCCGGAGGAGGTAGCTTTTTACATTGCCCCTTGCAGTGACGTGGGTGTCCGTGCTCCAACCCGTCGTGCTGACTATTGACCAAATGCACATTGGCTGGCGCCTAAGGTACGCGGGCCTGCTGTGGGGTACATTAAAAGCCAGGAGCATGGCCATGCGTTCACGGGCGAATGACTGGTACCAAATAGGATCAGCAATGTCGACACTGTAACACGTGCTGCAGGCGCCAGCTCATCAACCCCCGGAAGATGATGATGATCGGGCCATACCTCATCAGCTTCCCTGCACTGCGCGTGCTGAGCAAGCGCATGCCCCATGTCAACATCTCGTCCCAGGATCTCAACTACAAGGACAAACAGAACCAGCACGCCACTCTCAAGTAGGCTCTATCCAACCTGGAATTAGGTACAGACTGGTTTGTGGCTGACTTACCGCCATTCACTGACAGACAGGTTGGCCGACCTCGACATGGATCCCTCAACTGGAAGCGTCAAGGCAGTCAGTGTGCTGCGTGACGCACTGGAGACAGGTTCACGCAGTCCGGTTGGCGGTGATGGTCCTATTGTTGACGGCTCGTATTATGCTACCTTCCTCTATGTGACGTTCATGCATTATTTAGTAGCTGGCCGCTGAAAAGGCCTCTCGAGATGCTGGTGGTCGTGCTATGCGTGTACCAGCTTACTGTGCTTACTGTGTACCAGCTACTACAGCTACATTGTGCCGGGCCACACTACTGCAGGGCAGGCGCGTGTGCTTACATTTCTTTGTCTGCGTGAATGATTGGATGTATGAATGAATGGACGAATGAAAGGTGTGGTTAACATGCCCCTGGTTTGGTTCGGTTCGGGTGGTGTTATCTTTTTGAACACATGTAGTCTGGTGCCGGGGGCCCTTAGCAGGACTGAAGCACAGTTCAAGACGAGGCGTGTGGATATGTCTGCTTGTCTGAACGAAGGAATGAATGAATGAATAGACCGGGTGTTAAAATTGTGAGCGACTTGCCATGCAGACACACCTTTGGTTCTGGTCGGTTCGGGTGATGGTAACTTTTCACACAAGCATGGGTCCAGGTTGATCCCACCAGGAGTGAACACCTCGTGCACCAGCTCTATGATACTCAGTGGGGTGAACCACTCCAGGCTCTCACTGGAGAGAAACAGGCGCACATTCCCAACCCCTCCACTTCGAACCATATGGCCTCCTTCACCAAACTCGCTTTCTGTAGCAGTCGCTCACCTGGCGGGTCGACTGACAGAGCGGAAGCGTAGAGTTGGTAGTCCTCACCGAGGCAGGAAGAAGTCCAACCCAGCGGCAAGCACTAGCGTACACAGACGCGTACGAAACGATTAGAGACTACGGCAGCGGAGTCTTGAACTCCGAACACCTAGTAATGTGATACGTCAGTGTCTGGCCAGAGCACCCCGCCCGGGTAGCTTATATCTCGGCCTACCTGCCGGAGATTCCCTACCACGGACTTGCCGTACTAGGATAATGTTGGTGGGGCCCGGGGCCCTGCTTACGGACAACCGCCATGTTCGATACATGCGACGAAGCTCGTAACATGTACGAAACTTGAGTCGAATCGTTAACGAATTAACAGTTATTGTTAAAAGTAACGTTAAAATATTTTAAGGGAATTGTAGCTTGCTACACCCTGCCAAGTTCGTAGTGTTTTTCGCCCAGTAGACCAGGGGTGTCCTGTGCCGCCTTGATTCGCCAGGTGTCTGCCATCAGAGTGGGATTCAGCCCCTGGATGTCTGTCTCATCCCACCTGTACCGCGGAGTAGCAGAGGGCAAGGAACCCAGGGATGGCTCTGGGGTCCAGGTTGATGGGGATCCCCTTGATCTCCCAGTAAGGGCGCTCCGCCTTGTATAGATTCGTGATGGGCAGCTCCACTTCCACCGGTGGGCTGCTGGGGAGGAGCTGGACTGGCCCCAGGTGAAGCCGTCCTCTCCTGACTGCTGGCGAGGTGGTAAGCATTGCCAGACCACCTTTCCGGATCAAGATGCTGATCTCTTGCACCTTCACACCACTGGGGAGTGCCCAGAAGAAATAGGCTACCTGGAGCTAAAATCGTTTTTTGTTTGGCTAATAATATCAGCACTTGTTAGAGCTAGTTTTGTATCAAAAGGCATAATCTTTTCTATTATCTATTAAGCTATGAATGATATTGGATACTTCCACATTGACAGAACAAATGGAACAGCCCAGGAGTATTTTAGGTTAAAAAGCCATACAATATGAGCAGGCGTAACTAAAGGATTAGCGGGTATATAATTGTCCGGATGACCCAGTAAATTTGGATAAGTATGACTATATGCAGAAATTTGGGGTAGAAACTAAAGAGGATATAGCAACTACTCTTGCAGTGTTTGGTGCTTTTACGGAAGGTCATTTGCTGATTCACGACCCGAGCAACCCCCCCTGCCCCCACGGGCAGTATTATCGCCCTTTTAACAATGGCATTGCCCACTGGTCCATGTAGCTGGGCTTGTATGTCCGCGGGGTCAGATCCGGCCGGCCAATGGATTTCCATGGTTACCAGGTCCTGTTCAATATAAAGCGGGGTTCCTTCTGGAATTATGCCCATTATGTCGTCGGTGTCCACATAATTTCGTTCCGCTTGGGAGCGGTGTTACCAGTGTTGGGGTGTTACACTGTGGGCGACTCGCCGCGAGAAAAGGGCAAGCACCGGGGGCCCTGACCGGGCCAAAACACAGGGCAGGCGTGCGGCTCTACGTCCGTCTGTTCCTCCGCGCGCGCCTCATTCCCTCACGCCAACCGGGACGCTCTCCCAGCCCCTGGCTAGGCAACACAGCGGCGCAGAAGACTGCAAACCGAACTAAATGAGAGCCGCACGAGAGGCGCCACACCACCTCTGGGAAACTTAACCAGGCTATCTGCCCCCACTTCGCCAGGCCAGCCTATGCACGCGCTCTTGTCCCTCTTGACCGCCAAAACAAGAACAAAGAGAAAACACCACCGGGGGCAGGGGCTCTACTCAGGGGGCTCCACTACACACTCAAAAACCGAGGCAAGGGAAGACCTACCCACGTCAGGTATGGCCCCTCAGCAAACTCTCCTAGTCAAGGACCCCACGCAGCCAGCAAGGCAAGAGATACACGGAGGAACACGGGCCTGAGACGCCACACCACAAAAGCCGAGACGCGGTTGCACCAAGAAGACAAACACAACCCGGGCACTCGCACACTGGACCTTTTAAGGCCAGCTGTTCACCTACCACTAGCAACGGACACCTACCGAGGACGTCCACCACTACCTCACCGGTCCACTCACAAACGAGGCAAAAAACTGGTCCGTACGGCAGTCTACTCCTGGGGGTTGTGGGCTTCCAGGCGCAGCCCAGCGCAAGACACAGTAAAAACACCTATTGCCGCGGGGGGGATGACAAGCCAGCGCGGCGCCCTCCTAAAAAGCCCGAGAAAGGCACGGCTCACAGACGCTGCCTGCTTCCGCTTACCACACCGAGATCCCTCCCCTCCTAACCCTGGCCGGCTGGGACCAGCAACACCTGCTCTCCACCTCCACACCACTCTCCTCCACCGCTTTCCCACCTCTCCACTCTCACAAGCCACCTACGCCGTCTCTACTCTAATGCCAGACAGCACAGAACCCAATCCCCTCTCTTCGGTGGGCCCCAATTCCTGGGGAGAGGGCAAACACACGAGCACACGAACACACACAGCCCGGCTGCACAACTCCCCCTGCTAGACCACACGACCCTAGGCCAGGACGCTGCTCTCTTGCCCAGCCCTCCACCTGCCCAGGGCCTCCCTGCTCTCCTCGCGCCCTCACCCTTCCCACCTATCCCTACTCCTGGCTCTCTCATCCCCTCTCCCTCACTCTCCCTGCTCCCCTCCAAAAAGAGTCAGTGACTCCACTCCAGTACGGCTATTTAGGCCGTGATTTCCACCGGTGCTGCACACCGCATCCGTTCCTCCACGACCGTCAGGATGGGGTGCTGCGGCCCGACTCTGTCCCTGCCGTGTCTGGAGGTCTCCAGCATCACGAACGAGCGCAGATGCGCCCAGAAGCCTGCCACCGCCCGGGCGCGTGCGCGGGCCAGTGGCGAGGCTCCTGCTGCGCCCGCTGTTGCTGCTGCTGCCACCGCCTCGCCCCATCCCGCCCCTGCTTCCTGCGTTGGCCCGCCATCTGCTGGGGCGTTTAGGGTGGGTCCCTCTTGCTGCACTGCACCTCCAGCCAGGGTGAAGAAGTCTGTGATGGCTCGCTGGCGGGACCTCTGCTGCTGGGGCTGCCCCATCATGGTTTGCACCTGTTGTTACTGCTGTCCCGCCGTTGCTGTCGCCCCCATCCGTCCCTGTCGCCGGGTTGCTGCTCGGAGGCAGCACCTGCCGACTTCCATGGCGGATAGCCCCGCTAGGGCGATCACATCCCAGGGGCCTTGCTCGCACCCGGGTGGTGCTTGGGCAACCCAGAGCTGCTGTCGGGTGGTGGTGGCCCCTACTGTTGTCTGAGTGTGTGGCAGGTGCCTGTCGATCTGCTCCCGTACGGCACGTGCGACTGGACATTCCCAGAAATGGTGCAGACATGGTGGGCAGGGTCGGCCCCATAGGTCCCACACCTGCATGGCTCAGTGGGCATCTGGTCTAGGTGCATGTTGCCAGGTAGGGGCACGCCATCCACCGCGAGACGCCACATGGTCTCCTTGTTCTCATTCTCCCAGCGCACACCATGCCACAAGCGTGCTAGAGTTGCCTGAAAGCAGCTAAGCTTGGCAGCGTTGCCAGGCTAGGCCTGGGTCTCGGGCGTGTTCAGGGCCTCATGCACGAAGTCGGCCATCAGGCGTTTTCATTGCTCGTCCACATGCCCGTTCTGTAGCTGTGTCGCTTGACTGACCATTAGGCGGCGGAGCAGCACAGTGTCCATCACCCCAGGGAGGCGCCACCCCAGGCGCACCATTATCATGGTCATCACTTGTGCGCAGTCTGGCCGTGTCGTTGCCGGTGCTGGTGGTTGCTGCTGGGGCCCCTCCTCCTCCACTGGTTGTTGCTGTCGCAGCCTGATCTCCACTGCACATGCTGCCTCCAGCCAGGCCGGGCTGATGCCGCTGTGCAGGGCTCCAAGAGCTGCAAGGGCGGCATCCTTGCCCTGCAGCTGTGCGGGGCCTGTGGCTGGGTCGAGGTGCTCACGGGCCCACGAGTGCCAAGCTGCTCCCTGGAGGGTGGTGGCTTGGCCATTGTTTGCCGCTTCCCACACCCGTACCAGGTGCCCCACCGTGTGCAGTTTCCTGCATGGTGTCAGTGCTGCGTGGTATGCTTCCAGGCCTGGTCGACGGCTGGGGCCCTCGGTGTTTGCAGCATTGGTCGCAGTGGACAGCAGTGGGTTGCCCCATAGTGCCGCCGCCCAGCACCAATCACCGGGTTCTAGTGGGGTTCTGCCAATTGCCGTTGTTATCAGTATTGTCGGTGTTGTTGTGTTGCCATCAGTCCAATATGAATGCAAAGCGTGTTGGTTTCGCTCATGGCTATTTGATATAATGGCAGTGTATGTTTGCTTGCGTTGTTGGGTGCTGCAGTTCGAGTGTTTTTGACATGAGGTTTTATGTTGTGCGGTCAGGATTGGTCGTTCTTAGTCGGATGTCAGATGTGTTTCAGTGTGGAGGTGTGTGGTGGATTGTTATGTTATGGGCGTTGTGCAAGATGTTTGCGTGCTGTCATGTTACCAATATTGGGAATACATGTTTTGGTGTAGCTTGTAGCAGGGTGATGATGTTTCGCCCTGGTGCACATACGCGGTGGCTTGGGCCGTGACGACACACTTGGTTTAGACGCAGATTCGTGCATGTATGATGCAGCAGACGTGTTAGTTGTTGTCGTGCCATCTTTTGTTACAGTTAATGCAAGATTTAACGACGACGAAGACAGGCCTTACCAACCATCAACAGAGGAAGAGACACAGTAGCTAGACTAACAGGGTGTTTCCATTTGGCCACACACTGACTTTTAAATATTATCTTTAATGTGGACTTAGTGTGTGGCTAGTGGACACTAAGCGCCCCGGAACCATACGACAGGTTCATATTAAGGCGCCAAACCATTGTAATAGTAAGAGTAGGGTGCACTACGTTTCTCTCTTTTACCTGCAATGGACAACGACTTACTTATTCAGATTGTGAGCGGTTTGGCCGCGGCCCTGTTGGCCCTCCTAGCCATCACCGTGTTTGGCTATGTGAGGATCGGTCATACATGCTGCTATGCCGCGTTGACTCACGGGCGTGACCTCCTTACGGCCCCACATATCTATTCTATGATTGCAAATACTAAATTCTGCAAACTACGGAGCAATCTGGCAGCAATGGACGTTTTTGGCTGGAGTATGCTGGAGGAATGAAAATGTACGGGTCGGCTTCAATTTATTCTTTTTTTCCAAATGCCAAAATGTCTGTTTATTCCTTTTTAAGTAATATATTACTAAAAGATACCCTGCCTATCTACCCCCCCTTCCTGGCAGATCGTTGCAGTACGGGTGCAGTCGTAGAGTGGGCGCTTTTATGGCACTCGGTCGGTCAGTATGGTGCTGCAGTCGTGTGCCCCGCTAGGTGCGCTTTCCAAGCATTTCACTCAGGCGCGGGGGCGTGTAATACGTTCCAGGGGCAATGGGACCGCCAGCGAGGCAGAGGGTTGCAAAGATGGGGGATTGGGGGCAGGTACTGGTCAGGCGGGATGGGGAATAGGGGTGACGACGTCATTATGGGATGTAGGGCCCAAGGCAAGGATTAGGGATTATGCGTGCTACACTACTTTTAGGATGGGAATTGCTGTCGGGGTGAGGATGGGGATGGGAACCCTGTCAGAGGGATGGGGATTGAAACCTTGACCAAGGATGGGATTGGGAACCCTGGCCAAGGATGGGGATGGGACCCTGGCTGATAGGATGAGGATTGGAGGCTGTCACAGGTTTAGGATGGGCTCGCTGCCATAGGGCGAGGATTGGGGACACAGGAGGATTAGGATGGGTAGTTCTGCTGTAAGGTGATTTTGCAGGTGCAGAATTGGGAATACTGGCAGGACTGCAACAGACCAAGGATGGATCGTGTAGTTGTCCATAGTTGCTTACTTGGTGTGCTGTTACTTATGGTGCATCTCACAGCGTCTGATGAAAGTGTTTACATGGTGGCCAAAGCCAGTGCCAAACATGCACGTTGTCATGGTCGATTTTGCTCACACACTTCAACTCATGGGTCAGCAATATGGTAAACCAAACACCGAGAGATGTCTTCACAAAGCAAGGCACCCCTGCCCAACAGCACCATAACCAGCTGTCCAGGTATAGCCCATGCCCATGTTCACCAGCACCACATCGGGCCTCCCATTACCCACTTGACACACATGAGCACATCTCACCAAAAGCGGCCCCTGCAGGCTGCACCTCTGCTGTCTGCCAAAAGCATGGCCATCATCAGTGCATGCACCAACATCAGCCATCTCACCAGGCCGCCATGCATTCATTTGTTAGACCTTTGCTTATAAGTCACGTCCCATAGCAAACCAAACACAAACACAAGGAAGTTCTATGAGTTGGCAGCACCGAATCTAGGCTGGGGAGTCTAACATCAGAGTCGTCCATGACCTTTTGCTTCACACCAAATGGCTGGCACTCATTGCAAACAACACAACCAACCCTCACCCACTACCCTGGGGGGGACAGTGCCCACAAATTCATGCCTGGCACGCTCCCAATGCGACTAATCAAGGTGACGAACCTTTCAACGGCAGGGCCCATATAGGCAATGACACTGCCGTGTGGATTCTGCGCACGGGCTCCCCATTGAAGCTCATCACTAGTGCCCACCTGCCGGACAAACGAAAGGCGCTCCTGGAGAAAGCACACTGGCCAGTTCAGCACATCGTTGAACCAACAGTTTGCATGGAGCCGACAGGAGGTGACGCCTAGCTCTGCAAGGAAAAAAATAGAAATGGACTACATACAACGAGCACGAAACAACCCTGAGGAACTGGCCAATAATGGCCTCATGGTGCAACTGATTGACCAGATAGCCGGGCTGGCGGGAAGCCTGGCAGCCACAAACCAAGAAATCCGCACCATGAAATATGAGCAAGCGGAACAAAAAACTTAAGTAAAGCACTTGATGAAGATGGATGGATGGATGGATGTTACAAGCTTCAGCGAGCTCGTACGGCCCAAACGAACCCGGAGGCTCATGAACCGCTTTGACAGCGCCGTCGATAGGGAAAAGAAAAAAGAGAAAAAGTAAACGAAGCAAACAAAACAAACAACAAAAAAGGAAAGTTTTACGCAAGAAGAAAACGGGTGTTTATGAGAAAGAACAGCGTCAATTTGACTCTGAAACACAATTGCCTGTTACCGCCGAGAAAGTTAGGTAGTTAAGTGCTCATGCCGGGAGCGAAACATCTCAAAAATTGCCTTTGCAAGACCACGCTGATCATCCACTTGCATGATATCACGGCTTTTCGCATTGACGGGCACACCTAGGTCCCAGAGCTTCTGACGCGCAGACATAATCGCCGGACATTCTACCAAGAAGTGATGAAGAATGGTCGGGGAGTCTACTACGACGTCTTCGGCCTAGTCCACCAAAACGGGCTCTTCTACCTGGACAGCATGCGGATCTTTACCACTGGGAGTGTGGACGAGAGCAGGTTAAGGGACATCCTAAGGGAGGCGGACGTCAATATAAAGCGGATCAGACTCCTGGGGAACGATCCGAGTAAAGACCGTAGGACCTGGTGCGCCTACTTTGATCTAACGGAGCGTCCCTGATTCTTCAGGGCAGCTGAGGCCCTGCAGCATCAGAAGGTCGGCATCGATGACAATTTAACACAGGCAGGGAGGGTCGAGAGAAAGTGCCTGGCCCCGCTGCGGCAGGACATCATGCGACAAGGTGCGATCCCAGTCTGGAGGAACGGGGCCGAGCTATACATAAAGGAGCGACCAGGCGGAAAAGCGCAGCCGTATGGACCCGGAATGATACCGACAGCGACCTGGGCAGCGCGGAGTACGGTGCCGACGGAGGCGATAGCGATTGAGAAGGGACTGCAGCTGCCGAGCAGGGAGCTGACGGCAGTGAATATGTCGGTGGCAACGCAGGAGGCGGTGAAGGAGGGGCCATCGGCAGCAGGGGCCCCGGAGGTGGCACCTCGGGAGTGGCAGCAGCAGCTACGACTGCAGCAGCCGGGAAGGGGTGTGTACGGGGCTCCAAGATGGCGGCCGCAGGGTCTGCAGCTCCGGCCGTCGCAGGGGCAGCAAACCCAACGGCAGCTATTGCACCAGCGACCACCTTGTGGGCGTGTGGTGTGCGGGCATCGCTATCCCCATCCGTGGCCTGAAGGGCAGGGCCGGCAGTGATAGCGCCCTCAGTAGGGGCTAACCCGACCGCCAGAGCCCCTCCCCCACCACCTCCCAAATCAATCCCGCCCGGGCACGAGCTGGCGCTCATTGGGAACAACAAAAGCAAGATACCACCCGAGACCACACTCAGAGCTGTGAAGGCAAAACCCCCGAAACAGCTGCGAACCGAGGGCACTATTGGACTCATGTACACGGCTTCACCAGGCACTCTGGAACGAGCGAGCTACAGACCGCCAGCCGGACGCGATCCACGAGTACAAGGGCCGGATAGCAGGGGCGTCGATGCGGAAGGGTTCCGACTCGTGGCGTGAAGTACACGAAACGGCTACGGATTTTACTGTGGAATGTTCATGGGCTATTGGAGGCGGGAGTTTTCAAGCTCAGCCGAGCAGGAATTAGATCGTTCGTCATGAGTCATGATATTGTTGTTATAGCTGAGGCACATTTGAAAGACACTATTGAGGAGAAAGACATAGCTTTGGAAGGGTTCCGTATTTTCTGGGTGGAGAGGTCAAAAGAAGCCCTGAGGGCCGATTATGGGGGCGTCGTGCTGTATGTAGGGGAGTCACTCACACGGGGTATTACGGTAGTGCACAAGGACAACCAGCTGCCAGGGTGCGAGGTCATTTGGGCAAGCATTAGCCTTTCTACAGGTAGTAGTCTCCTGATGGGAGCCTGCTACCTCGCACCAGAGACATCCAGGGTCTACCCGGATGGTGGAGGCACTGTATCACAGCGCACTGTAGCAGCAGAAGCCGTTTTTACCAGGATACAACAGTCATTAACGGAAGTCAGGCTTGGCGATGAGGACGTACTGATAGCCGGGGACCTTAACGCACGTCTGTCTGGAGCACAGTATGAGTGGAACCGTGCTACCCCCATGGACCTACCCACTTACGTGAACGACATCCCGGATTTAGAGCAGTCACAGGCCGTATGCGAGGTCATGGGTTCATGGAAGGACTGAGGCACTACCAGAATTATGACAGACTCGGAACTCGAAATTGCCAGGACCAAGTTTGCAATTTCTTTGGTGCCCAGCTTCAAGCTGGGGCGCTCTGCAGATCTGAAGGACTGCTCGCAATGAACGGCCGGATGAGAGGGGACCCCGAAGTCCGCCTAACTTTCCCTAAGGGGGAGGCAGGCGGTAGTATGATCAATTTGTTCATAGCGACTCCGTGTGTGCTTCAGCAGCACGCCACCATTCTGAGGGTAGGAAACCTGATCGAGTTGGATGGATGGGAGCCCACCGACCACCATCCTTTGATGCTTGTTCTTAATGTTACAAGTTACAAGTGCCGCACGAGTGTGGGGGGGTCCGTCAAAGCCGGGAGGCCATGGACTATATATATTGAAAGTTGATTACACCGTATGACTGATGGCGGTTTGGGTCCTGCCAACTAGACCCCTCCTCATCCAGTCACCCAACATCCGTAGAGACAGATCAGCCACCACCACCTTCTCAGCATGCGAAATTTAGTCCATCAACTAGACCTCATCTCCACACCTCAGCAGCGTTAGTAAACCTAGACCTCCCGAACAATGTCGGGGCCTGACCAGGAATCGAACTCGGAACCTTCATATACACAAAGGCGCCACCAAACCAGTGGATGACGAAAGCAGGTGTAAGGACGGTAAAGGCCGGAAAGCCCGGGTGGAGTTTGATATTGCCCGTTACCAGGATTACGCGGAATATTTTGAGGGGGGTTCATCTACTATGAATGCCTTAAGCCAAGTGGCCGAGGATCTGCAGAGGGGAGTTTGCAACACCACACAAGCTGTCGAGCGCATTGGAGGTGCCCTGTACAAAGTCCTGGTGAGGGCCTCCGATACCCACCGACCTACCGGCATGACGGCAGGTGGGGATACTGTTTGGGGGAACCGGGAATGTCAACAAACGCGGCAGAACATGTTGGAGAGTAGGGCCCAGCTGGGTCCAGGCCGGGGGAGTAATAAATCGGGTCCGGAATGGGAGGCTTTCCGCCATGCGCGAACGGATTACAACCGGGCAAAAAGACATGCAAAGGCGGCCTATGAGGAGGACAGGATGAGAGATTTTGTGGCCAAATGTCGGGATGATCAACGAGCTTTGTGGCGAGCTTTAGGAGGGAATTTGAATCCGGGCTGAGCAGCTAGCCAGACCAAGAACCGGGACGAGAAACCCAAAACGTGTTCGTTACAGTACAACCAATATGAACAAGGCACCGGGGACGTGGACATATGGTTGGGGATAAGAGACGCCCAGCCTGCCTGCCAGAGCCCGCATGCTACTTCGTGCGGCCCTTCCGGGCTACCGTGCTCTTCCGCATGGGTAACCAGCAGGCAGCTGACGGCCTCGCTTGGGTTACTTTGGCCCCACGCCTAACCCAGCGAAACATCCCCCGTGCCTCTAAACTAAAGGCTGGCCTCTCACCAAGCCAGGAACCCAAAGTTTGAAAGGGTGGGCGGGTGGGAAAGAAAAGGTCGTCAAATTCACACTGCTGACCAACGGACAATAACAGCGGCAGCTAGCAGCTGTTCTGGTAAAGAGAGCTCGTATCAACTAGCAGCCGAGTCCGAGATCGCCCGGAAGATAATTCGACAAGACTAAACACCACCGATCAAATAGCAGTTCAAAATAACAACCAACTAACTGCACCGTACGACGCCGCTCTGACGCCCCTCTTCAAACCACATTTTCGGCTACGCCTAAAATAAGATGTTGAGGGAGCGATGTGCGATAGATGATATTGAGGTCTTCAGGAAACACTTTGCTGTGCTATTAAACGCAGGTGTAGGGGAGACGGGGCCTGATGGTGCAAACCGGCTTTTGAACTTCATTAACTTTGGGCAGTTCCTAGAGGGGCAGGAATGGCGGTCATCCCACTCGGTTTTGGGCAGGAATGCGAAGGCAGCAGAAATCCTAGGCCCCCCCCTCACGCTGGAGGAAGTCGCACGTGCTGTTGACCGGCTGCCTAACAGTAAGGCACAAGGTTTGGAAGTAGCGCAGTCAGAATGTTACCGCTATGCGCGTTTGCCTCGAGAGGAAGAAGGCTCCACGTCGGGTAATGGTAAGGGCAGGCGACGGGGGGAAGTGAATCAGCTTGTTCCGGTACTGCACGTGCTTTTGGAACATATCAGGGTGACTGGGGACTTTCCACGGCAGTTTACAACTACCGTCCTCACCCCTATTTACAAGAAGGGGGACCCCAGCATGCCAAGTAACTACCGGGGCATAGCGGTAGGGGGCGCCTTGGCGAAATGTTACGCGCTGGTCCTCCTGGATAGGCTCGTTCGCACAGGGGAGACGCTCTCACTTAGGCACCGAGGCCAAGCGGGTTTCAGAAGAGGATTCGGTATTACACATCATCTCTTTGCCAAGCAATACCTTACTGCTAGGCACAGCAAACCGGGACAGCGGCCGTTAATCATTGTGCAAATTGACTTTGAGAAGGCGTTTGACAAGGTGCCGCGGGAGATAATGTGGGTTCATTTGCAAGAGAGAGGGGTTGAAGGGTCCATGCTGCGGTCGCTGATGCGGGCGTATGACAAGGTTACAATGGTCATCAAGACGAATGGCAAGGCTGGAGGTGAATTTGAGTCAAAACAGGGTGTGAAACAAGGCTGTCCATTATCGACTGAGCTGTTTGGACTCTACATTGAAACTCTCGCGGACGTCATCGATATGCACGACGGTATTAACACCGGGGCACGGCCAGAGGATGCACCGGAGGTTGGAAATGAGCGAGTGTCCATCCTCCTCTATGCCGATGACGTTAGCCTTCTGGCAAAAACACCGGGGCGCATGGGGGGGCTGCGCAACATTGTGGACATGTCCTGTGATGATTTGGGGATGCGCCCAAATGTGTCGAAATGTGAACGCCTCGTTTTTGCAAGCGACAGCGATACTAGAAGTGCTGTCCAAGCATCGTGTGATGAGCTCAGGCTGGCTGGAGAGGCCATACCGGCTAAGGATAGTGCACGATATCTGGGGTTAGTGTATGGGGCGGAACGGCAGTTCTGGGCCTGCCGTCAGCAGTTGTATGACACGCTAGAGCAGCTATGTTCGCGTTGAGTGCAAAATTAGATAAGCTAAAGTTGTTCGCCCCAGATGTGAGGATGAGGTGTTTTGATACGCAGGTACGAGCAATACTGTTGTATGGTTGTCAAGCGTGGGGGCCGTTTATGCTAGCTGAGGTCAGGAGGCGGAGTGATGCGAGTAACCTTGCAGAGGGGCCCTTCGAGGCATGCCTAAAGGACAGAGCAGTGCAACTTCAGATATTTTTACAAATAGTAGGAGCTGCCAGACCAACACACCGCCTCCTGTTTGCAGAGCTGTCGCAGCTACCCCTACACTACCACGTTCTCAAGCAGGTGGTGAGGTTTTGGAACCATGTCCGTTTACAGCGTGGGTCTGTGGCACACCAAGTTTTGCGACAGGAGGTCGCAGAGTCCCTCTCCAACCCCGAAGGGGCCGGATGGGGGACACTACTCCTCCGTTTTCTATGCTTTTTGGGGCACGGCGTATGAAAGAGGCCCCGCAAGGGCTACACGAGGTAGACGAAGGAGTGGAGTGGCTGATGAACAGGCCAATGCCAGAAGGTGTGGTTTTGGAGTTCAAGGACCGATTAGCGAGTGGTTGGAAGCATACGCGTTTAGATGTCCAGCCTGACGTGTACCCGTCAGACGGCAAGCAACCAGGAATCCACATAGCGAAGTATAAGCATTGGATGGGTCTGGTGGCCGAGCAAGCTGGCAGGAAGGAGGTGCTCCCGCATATCACAATGGTTATCCCGCGTCCAGCGAACCGCAAGCTTATGCAGTTTAGGCTTTGCTGTTGGGCATTGGCGGCTAACAGAGCGCGTAAGGGACGGCGTTATATACCTAGGGAGGAGCGAGCATGCTGCGGCACTGGTAGCCATATTGAGGATGAGAAACACATTTTGCTGGACTGTCCGGTGTAGACAAAATCAGATCTGATATGAGTTTCCCACGCTTCGAGCATATGAAGGACGCTATGAAGTGGGAACCTGAACGCCTGGCAAGGATGCTGGAACGCATATGGTCCCACCGCAACTCTATCGTTCCCTTTGGTCGTTAGTATCCTTCTTCACTTGTTTCGTTGCAGTGCGAGGTAGGATGGTGCTTATAGGCGATTTGGCAGCCCTTGAGCCCTCGGCTCGTATTAGGGTGGTTTGCAGGTACGGGGAACGCACCCACGACCATGTAACAACAACAACAACAACAACAACAACATCGTTAAGCCAGCTGTAGCCTATACCTGCCTTCAATAGCACCACGGCCTACCTCACGTTCCCCGCCTGATACTCCCACACACATCTCGCAAAAAGTAGCCCTTGGAGGCTGTGTGTCCTTTCCGTACACCAAAAGCAAGTTGAGAATCACATTTCATCGCCATGCATTGCCCTCTGCCAGTCCATCCGTCGCCTCATCGTATATGGAAGTGGCATGCACCCGCGTGTTTGCAGCGGCACAAGAACACGGATCCAGGTCGATGCAGCCCCGGTGCAAAAAGCTCGTGCACCAGGTCCAAGATGAAATCTGGCATGTACCATTCCTATGTATTGCTTTGGATGAACAGACACAGGCCGCCATATTGCAGCGCCATATTGCAGCGCCAGTGCAATAGGTGCAGCCAATGCTTGCTCTCGACGTGGGTCTTGGACTTCACCCGGCCCGTGCATTTCGACTCGTCAACCATTGCAGGATATCCTATTTTAATTACATGGGCATGAGACAGGCATGGAAAGCGACTTGGTGAAAATGAGGAGAGACGTGAACCGGTCGTGCACTCCGCCAGTTCCACAGTCAGAACAACATTCTTACCTTGTCCGGCCCACGCACATCCACGGCACCAACGTATGCGCCAACATATGCCTTAACAGAGGAGATAATGAAAGATCGTCGAGCTGTTTGACAAACAGCTGTTCACGGATGACCGGCCCTATTTGCCTACAAAACCATGCTAACAGATTTCCAAAATACTTCATCAACAAGCAAATCGCCTCCTGCAAGCAAAAGGTAAATAGGGCCAGTCATTTGTGAACAGTCCTTTGTAGTTTGCGCTAAACAAAGTGTTCGTTTCCAAGGCAGAGTTTGGGACACTGTGAACAAAAAGGACCAGAATGTTTGGCGGTCCCTACTGGCGGTGTATTCACATGCTGGCCGGGAAGACGGCCGGCCACATCATGCCGTACCGCATCCCGAAGCCATTATGCGCAATCCTGAGAAAATTTGCAGTCTTCATTATTTCGTTGTGGCGCAACTCCACGCAACTCTGCGCATGGGACAGAATGTCGTATTGCATAGGAGCAAATCTTGCGCAGTTGTCCAAGTCGACTCAAAAGCATTCCAATCGGAACGCCTGGCTTTTCATAAGTTTATCAGGTTGTTTGTTATTGCGCTTTGGCGCATTTAACGTGGAATATTGGTGCCCGCCTGTGCAGCTGACCACCTATGCTGGGGGTGAACCATTGGTGCACCCAGTCCCTCTTCATCATCCCGCGTTCCAAACCATGGACATTTTGACCGAACACCCTTGTTTGTTCTGCCATATTAACCACAGCATAATAATTTGTTGTTGTGGCCATCCATCGAACATAACTCTCCTTCCTCCGTTAGGACGACGCGCTATCTGCATTAACAGGCAGTGTGCAAACAGATACATAGACCTCTGTGCTGCGAGCTCTCCCTCGGCCGAGATCCGCTTCAAAGAGCGTTTGTCGGCTTCGGAATTTGACGCTAGAGGAAATAAGCCATAGAGCAAGAGAAAATACCTCGCGGAATTAGAAAATAACCCTGGTCATTCTCCTGATTTACGGCTAAAGAGAAAGCCGATATTACAGCACCTGTGTATTACAGCAGCAGCTCAAGTGATGGGGATGGGACCCTGGCTGACAGCTTTCGGTTGTGAACACAGCTGCAGGATGGGGATGGCCCTGGTCGAAGGGATGGGGAAGGGACCCTGGCTGGCAGGATGAGGATTGGGGGGACACAGCTGTAGGATGGGATTGGAAACCCTGGCCGAAGGGATTGGGGATGCGACCCTGGCTGGCAGGATGGGAAACCTGTCTCAAGGGATGGGATTAGCACCGGCCCTTAATATGGGAGATGGGAGTCGGTCACCCCAGCCAGGATGGGAGAATGGCTGACCACTACCACCCCCCGGGATTGGGGGATTAGACCCTTTTTGCAATCCTCTGACTAGGCCTTACGGTTCTCCGCCAGGAGTGCGCCAACCTCCAATTTGTTTGACGAATATTTGTTTTTTTATCATTCTTTCATTAGTTATATCAATATATGCATTTAGGACGGTGAGAGACCAGTCCAGGACGAAGAACATTCGAACATAGTGTTAGCGTCCGGCCAAGTGGAAACACCCTGTAAAGCCATAGGAACGCTAATGTTTGGGCTCCGGGCATGCGGAATCAAGATCATTATATTGTCACCGTATATAACACTATATATTTGCTTAAGCTTTACGGCTTTTATGAATTCGGCCAGCATTATCATAATTGTCCTTGCATATAGTTGCCAGCTTTCGTATGCTCGATGTCACACTGACAGACACTGACAGCTGAGATAATGATCGAAACACTACTGCAATGCATGGACTGCAGTGCTATGCATGGACGACAGTTCTATTACACGAAAGCTCTATCTGAAATCGCGGAGACCTGGCACCATATACTGGACATGTCTACATTGGGTACCAGTGTGGTTCCACCCACACTCCTAGATTTATCCGTGGACTGCGTGGGTGGCTTGTTGAGCGATTTTCGAAAGGGTCCTGCCGAGTTTTCGACGAAACCAAGCCCCAAGGCAGACAATCAAGCCATGTACAAAATCGTAGGCAGTCTTTGAACATGCGGCAGCAACAACGCCATGGAGCCTGCAGCCTTTCCCTCTCCCCGCACTCGAAACTAGCCTAGTTTATCAGTAGCACGTGCCCAAACCAGCATGTATGGGAATTATTGGACCAGAAACAACTATAGAGATAGAGACTGTTCAACGAAACGCTATTATGCCTGGCGCCTGCATTACGAACGACCACCACTACATGAGCACCAGCCCCACATCCTGTGGGGCCATGCTGCATCCTCCTGCTAGTCTCCAGTTAAACAAATAGTAATGCAGCTGACCGTCGCCCTGCCCAAACTTCAAATCGCGCAAAAAGCTCTCATTCTGCATTAAATCAAGTGCATTGAAAACATCATAGCCACGAGCAGCCGCCAGGACCATGGCATCCGATACCAGCTGTCGCAAAGGGACGGACAATGCAATCGTGTAGTACAGGTACGCAGCTTTGAGCTCCGTATGCTGAGGATGCCCTAGAATCGAGGACGGCAGCGTGTAGAATGATACCATGTCCGTCACTCGTCCTGGCGCGTCAGGTGATTCCACTACGAAAGTGTTGATAACGCCATCAATATTCTGGAACCTAAACATGGACGTCAGGGAGGAGCGTGCTTGGGCTCGACTTCAGGGAATGGGAAGCATAAGCTTAAGGTGCCAAATGTATATTACAGCTAAAGAAGCGTTACCAATAACCCACCAACAATATCCGCATAAAGTTCAAAGGACAGCACGTTATCTACAAGCTTTTGCAGCTTCTAAATATCAGGTTCCCATGCTCCTGTAGCCCACGTCTCTTGCACTAAGAGGAAGGTTGATGCATCTCGTCAGAAATACCAGCATCTATGAAAAGACCGGTCCGCAATGTTCGTTCAACCACGCGTACCAATGAGTAACCTCCGCAGGCGTGAACATGGGAGCAAGCTTGTAAAGGCCCAAGTGAGCGTTCAGCAACTCGACGAGCTGCACATCATTGCACACACTGACAGTTAGACATGATGAAGGACATGGGAATGAATTTTTTTTATAAAGGATTTACCCCTGTAAAGGAGAGAATGAAATATTACAACGGAGACACCGCAGTGCATCGCACAACGACCGCAGGGCTACACGCACACAGGAGTTCCTGTGGCCCGCCACCATCAGAATGCACACTTCAGACTGCACACTTCAGTTTCCTCCCACTGATCCCTACTTGTCAGTTGGCTTCCTGCCTGGCAACTTTCTAATGATACAGCGGGACGAGGTAGCGCCCAAGCTGCCGCTTCCGATTCACATGCGAGATTCTTTACCTGTGGCGTGTCGTCTTGCCGGCACTCACGCAGTCCAGGTGTAGCCGTTGTTCCGGGCAACTTGAACAACTTAATCGTCCGCGCCATCGTCATGCGAGGCTGCATCGGAGCACACAAAGAGTACCGAGGCATAAGTACCTAGGGAAAACAGCCGAAAGCCCAGTATGAAGGATTCCCAAGCTTATAAATACTTGCGCGTCATCATAACGGCAGAGCCAGAAGCCAGTCAGACATGGGAATATTATATAACAGCACTGCGCACTAAAACATTTATGTTTCGAACGCTTTCGAGCTCCCTTCTGCTCGTTAAGAAATTTAAATCGACACGAGATTACTGTAAGAAGCCCAGCCGGAAACCACACAACGGCATAGTGTCCTGACTCAACCGTGCACTGTGCAACGCATTTCAACCCCAACGTTTATGACCGTGCAAGTGTATACGTACAGATTGTACAATATTACTTATTATAGGTATGGTAGCGGGAGGTACAAAGCCCAGCGGAAACCCATACTCCGTGCTAGCCCCCTTGTATGCGCTTTAGTCCAGCTATGTGTATCATTACTGTATTCTTTTAAGGTGATTTCTGGACGTAAAATCTGCACCATAACAGGTGGATTCAGTCACTTCCTGCTTATTGCGCTGTATCACGAGATATGGGCTTTGGAGGCTTGTCCTGTAACGAATTGTTGCGAAAAATGTCATCATAAATTTGGACACGACCCTCACAGGACGACACACGCAACAGATCCCAAGATATATTCTTATTGCACACACAAAATTCGTTACAAAGGCAGAGCCTGTACGGAAAACGAAATGTGGGTGTAAAACGCTAAAGATAGGAATACGCTTTTCGTATACGCTTCGCACTTTTCATGTATACACGTAAGTTTCGTACGTGTTTAAACATACAATGGCACGCCTACTTGCGCATGAGCAGAATATCCTTGCCAGACAACCGAGCATGCCTTGCACAATCGGGCCTTACTAGCTGGCCAAAAAGCAGGAAATCGTTACGCACAGCATACCAACAACACAATGCAAGGAAAGCAGTAATGCACGGCCCTAACCCCCCAGGACGGCAGAAAGCGAGCACTCACCGCAAGCCGTGAAAAGCCGACGTCAATGAGCTTCCGCGGATTTAAAGACCGGTGGTAATACCGGCAAGTAGCTACCGGCTTGGGTAGGAGAACACCAGCTGTATAAGCAGCCTGCCAAATGTCGCACTTGTTAACTCGCCTTGTAATTTCCTGAAGGGCCACACGGCAACCCCCACAAGCGCTGGTAATGTCTTGAACCACGCACCCTGGCGACAAGCAACAACCAAGTAATCTCACACCAGCCCAACCAAGCTGCTGCATAAGCCAACGCTCCTTCTAACAAACCCTTCCATTCTGTACATCAATGCTATCACAACTTGCCTTTATGAGGACGGGCGCAAGCCGCTTTGCGCGAAGTTTCTTATGAACACAGAGGAAATTAATTTCCACCATTGCCACTGTTTTGGTATTCACACGGATGTTCGCTGGGATAGCCGAAATGAAGCCGACAAGCTTCCGTGATGCCTTCACACGAACGCCAATCAGCCACTCCAACCGGTGGCCGGGGCAGAGCAAGCACCACTTCAAGAAGGACGCCGAATACTTGAACCTTTGACAAGGTACAAGCAATAACCATCAGTGGCTGGGGACGTTAACCCGTTACTGGCATGCTTTTGAGATGATGCCGACGCAAAACAATTACATACAGCTAACAAAAAAACATATCAACCAAACTACCGAGATCATTCATTATCCGTCTGGCTTCAGGTGCATGTTGCCCTTGTATGTGGGACTACAGACAAGCATTGGTGCTGTATGGGCCGGGCATGATGAATGTGTTCGGGGTTGGACAAGATGCGACTTACCCTTAGGAACTGTTCCTGCTGACTCCTGAGTAGCCCATGCTCTCTGCCTTCCTTTCATTAACATAAAGATAACATGTAAACTCACCTGAACATGTTATCATCATCCTCAACATAGTTATTACTTAACAACTCGTACACCTGAAAAGTACAAAGCAAAGATAATCCGCATTTGATTAATACAAGTATCATACCCTGCGTTATGTCACCCTGCTCAACGGTCGTACAGAAAAAGTTAACCCCAAATTGCAGAATTTGCTGCTCACCTCTTGCACGACCGCATCCTCGTTCAGGTTGCACACGCACCACTCAAAACTGCCAGTTTACAACCGTATTTGATGTATTCGTCAAGTTAGCGAGGTGCAGTGGAGCTACGTTTTAACCAAAAAGCATAGGTCGTCAGCGCCAATAGCCCCAGGCCAGGTTACTTTTCATTTGCTTGGTATTAGGTAAATATACACTGAAACGTTACATGTAGTCTGTCAGCCAAGCGACCGCTAGATAGATACGTGCTACGACATGTCTTGCGGGTATTTACAAGTGCATGCGCCAGTACTAATGCATAAATTCCGTGCTACCTCCAGCGCATAGTCCTACATGTCACAACCTCCACCTCCTCGAATTAACATAAGTTATCTCGTTGCAAGCTTGGGCCTAGTGCCAGTTGGCACAGTAAACAAACTTACCTGTCTGGCAAGCAGTAAGGCTGAGCCTGCACATCGTCGACGGCTCTAGGTGCCGCGATGGGACCCTCCTCAATCTGCATCGAGACAAACTGCTCAGGCGAAAATATTTCAGATACATCTTTGGTCCAGGTTGCGTACCTCGCCACCTTCGTTAAATTGCGTTACAGGCTGGGTCTCCCAGAAAACATACTTTTCTTTCGCCTACAAAGCATAGCAGCTATGGAACAGCTAGGAACGAATGTTATCGAAGAGCATTATGGACATTAACATACCTTTCGACTCTCTTCCACCTGTGTGAGCATTGTTGCCATACCTTGACGGCTCACTTTCCGCTGTTCCATACTCCAAAATTGAAATAGGGATGGGACGTCAATGAGCGCTATATCAACCCTTCCGTACTTTTCGGACTATTGGATCTCTGGAAGCTCGTAGCCTCTATGTATTTAACCTGACGTGTATGTTAGCTACACATGCTAGAGAAGGATCGCCCACATGGCGAAGTGACACCAGCCTTCAAACGACAGAGAGTATACCAGCTATTGTTTCCATACAACCCATATTATTGTTTTTAGCTACCAATGTAGAAAGTATGGAGCTGCAAGATTCAGGACGATAATAAACGAGCGTACGACAAGCGGTGGCGCGGATTTGGCTCAGCGATGACTATGTGAGAACCTATTATGTGATGAGTGTGTGAGAACCTAATTCGACAATTCTAGTGAAAACCACTACGAATACCCGCTTAAAGCTTATTATGAGACAAGAAAGAACACTTACAGGGTATTTCCACTAGACCGCACACTAACATTAAGTTCAAAAAATCTCACACCTGGCTCAGCAAATCATGCAAGCGATAAGAAACTAGTTAAATACATGAATAGAAAGTAAAAGTTCTTTAAAAAAATCGCGTAAAGGGGCTCCGTACGCGAAAAGCCGAAGGGCCCAGTGGAAACGCCTCGGACACTAAGTCCGCCTTAGTGGCACACTAGTTATCAGGGCCTCAGACCTGCTGATAACTTTCAAAGTGGACATTAACTTCCGAGCGGGAAAATTCATAGTCAGCCATTTTCCTTCTTCAAGGACCTACGTTGGCTTTTGTATTTTCCTTTATCCACAGCCGCAAATAGCCCGCTAACCAGTGGAATTCACAGCAGGACCGGTCGAATTGCCCACATTCCAGCAATTCGCCGACCAAACTGTAATGATTTGCGCATTAAATTACACCCACTCTTATTATAACAATGGTTTGGTGCCTTTATAGCAACCTGTCGTATGGTTCCGGGGCGCTTAGTGGAAACACCTGTCCACTGCCACACACTAAGTCCACGTTAAAGATAATGTCCAAAAGTTAGTGTGCGGCCTAGTGGAAATACCCTGTGTGCGGCCTAGTGGAAATACCCTGTATTCATCAAACAAATTGGAGGTTGGCGCACTCCTGGCGGAGAACCGTAAGGCCTAGTGGAAACACCCCGTACACTAAGTCCACACTAGCGCGTCACAAAGTTAATCGGACCTCAGACCTGCCAGTAACTTTCAATCCTAGCACTAATTATTTGGTGGGCAACTTTTAGGAGCTGGTTTGTGCCTTCTGACCACAGACCTTTGACATGAGCAGCTATTTTTTTTCCTTCCTGCAAACGCCGCGTTGACCTGCAAACGCCCTACACCGACAGCCTCAGGAGGCCGCAAATTTGCAATGGAGCCCGCGTTTAACAGAAAAAGCCTACGATCCATATTATGTTATGCGGACGTCTCGCACACACTAAATTTGTGGGCGAAGTTCGCTTCCTAACAGGGTGTTTCCACTTGAGCGCACACTATCTTCGGTACATTATGGGCTAGTGTGGACTTAGTGTAGTGCAAGTGTGACGGTGTTTCCACTAGGTGCACTAAGGAGCGCCGAAACCAAAATGGTATCGTATTTTGCATGTTTTAGCGCCAGGTATTAATTGCTTGTTTTTGCATGTGGTGGCACCCAGCAGTCGGAACTTAGCGAGAGATGTCAACTGTTATGGCTATCAGGCCAGGTAATACCTGCCAAAGATAGCGCTCGCTATCTGGGCTTGGTACACGGGCCATAACGGCCTTTTTGTGCGTGCCGTCAGCAGTTATGTGATACAGGTCGGTCCGCTATGTTTTCCTTTGGCGCAAAGCTGGACAAAATGAAGCTGTTTGCCCCCGACGTGCGAATGCGGTGCTTTGCAACCCAAGTCCGAGCAATTATGTTGTATGGCTGCCAGGTGTGGGGCCCTTTTGCGCTGGCAGAGGTCGTGGACAGGGCGGGAAGGCGGCGGGATAAAGCCAACCTTGCGGAGGGCATGTTCGAAGCCTGTTTGAAGGATAGTGCAGTCCAGCTGCAGATTTTATTCATGAGGCAGGTAGTGGGGACGGCACGGCCATCCCACAGGCTGTTCTATGCAGAGCTGGCTGACCTCCCCTTACAGTATTATATGGTGAAACAGATCCTCCGTTTCTGGAACCGCCTTCAAAAACAAGGTGGGGTCCATTGCTCATGCAGTTTTACGGCAGGAGATAACCCATGCCCTGACCAACCCGGAATGGGAGGGTTGGGGAACCTCAATGTTACGACTGCTTTCTTTCTTGGAGTGCAATATTTGGAGCGGAATACCGCAAGGAGTCATGGGGTTAAAGGAGCGTGTTGACTGGTTGTTGAGTAGGCCTCTACCCGAAGGAGCGATGATAACGGCACTAAGAGGGCGTTTGATGAGCGGCTGGGACCATACGCGTCTGACTGCCTTGCCAGAGGAGTACCCATCAGATGGGAAGCAACCGGGAGTGCAAATGGCGAAGTATAAGCACTGGATGGGGCTGCCCTTTTCGGAGCCGCAGCCGTCATGTGGCCAACACATGATAAGGTTTTCATTCCTCGTTTAGCACATCGTAAGCTAATGCAGTTTCGTTTATGTTGCTGGGCTCTGGAGGCAAACAGAGCACGAAGAGGCAAGTACCATGTCCCCAGGGGGCAGCGGTTTTGCCGCTGTTGTGGTACTAATAGCCGAATCGAGGATGAAGAACACGTGTTATTGGAATGCCCAGCCTATAATGATATTCGTGCTGAAGAGGGATTCGATCATCAACAGAGCATGTTGGAGGCCATGAAATGGGAACCAGCACGTCTGGCGAGGATGTTGGAACGTATGTGGGCTCACCGAAACTCAATTACCCCCTTTGGACGCTAGTCTGGGCTGAGAGTGCGGTGTTTCCTGTTCTCCGTGGCTTTTAGGCGTTGTAGTATTGCCCTTGGGCCTTCGGCTCGTATGGGTAGTTTTACAGGTATGGAGTCACGCACCCCCCAACCATGTAACACACACACTCACACACTTCTCCAAGTGCCTTTGTGAGTACATCTGCAACCATCCACTCCGTTGGGCAGTACTCTAACTGAACCTCCCCACTATTTACTCTTTCCCGAATGATATGGTGCTGAACGTGCTGAATGTGCTTCGACCGGGCAGACGTAATCGGATTGTTCCCCAAGCTCAGCGCCCCCTGGGAGTCTATCTGGATCTTAATAGCACTCTCTGGCAAACCCAGGCCGACTGCCAGTTTGCGAAGCCACAAAGCCTCACGAACCGCTGCCGCTGTAGCTTGGTACTCGGCCTCCACAGATGAAGCGGCCACTGTACGTTGTAGCTGGCTTTGGTGGCTAGGCTGGTGGATCGGGTCGTGACCTAGTCGTGTATGGTGGTGGCTAGCTGGTTGGAGAGCACCAACCAGTCCAACCAGTCCAATCGGTGGAAGTACCTTGCGTTTTGTACGGAGTGCAGAAGGTGCCAGGTGAAGAGGTGTTCCCAGCCCCATGAACCCGGGACCTGAACCATGCACACGTGTATTTATCCAAAGGCCATGCGGTGGTGCATTTACTCACAGCCGTCGGTAGAGAGCACCTTGTCCGCTCTGGCTGATTAGCAGCGGTCAGGGGTTTGCCGGCGGGGTCAACAATCCGCCATGACCCGGTGATGCAGCGTATGTTGGCGCAAGCCCTTCAACTTTCATTCGCAGGTGACGCCCCGGTGGAACCCAGGGTGCCAATGCCGGCAGTTTGCAGGTGGTATAGCTAAACGCTGCAGGCTTGGCGGCTCCGGAGACTGCGCAGGAAAGGGTGCAGGGTGTTCGCTGGCTATTTATTGGGCTTCTTCTTGACGTTCCAGTGTAGCGAGCTGGCCTGTGAGCAAGGGTTCTACGTGATGCTGTCACAGGTACTGGGGAGCGAGATTCCCATTAAGGGTATTGTGGTACAGCATGCAGCCGGCCCAGTACCGGATGGAGTGGTGGCACACCGCCCATTATTCTACATAGAGACGCGATGGGTTTAAGGCCAATGGCCTGCAAGGTTTTACAGAGCGTCTACAGGTGTTGATAGCTGAGCTGCAACGGGCGTAACCCATAGCTGGGTGTTGCGATGGCACTTCTTATGGCACAGAGCCTCCAGCCTGAAGTGCAACAACCGCCTTTTTCGGGGAGTCAAGCGTGGAGGCAATTAAGGAATGTGGTCGTTGGAAATCCGAGGCAGTAGGCAGGTACATCTTGCCACTCGCACAAGTGCGCATGCGAATTGAGTCGCACATGCTGGCAAGCCAACATGGGTAAGGGAGGTCTCTGGATGCGGGCGCATGCTGCGGTCCGCAGCAGACCCATCGCGGAAGGGGACCCCGGCAGTCGCGAAGACGCTTAAGGGAACCCAGGGTGCTTATTGCCCTTTCCTCTGTTGGCACACCCCAAGCACCTGGGACGTTCGTGTGGTTGGTGGGCTGGGCATTTCGCGAGGTTTCTGTTTGTTATGAATCTTAATCATGGCACATTGAAAGCGGGCGGACTAGTAGTTACAGGAATGCCGTATTCCTTAGCGACGCGTGGTAAGGCCCACCGTAAGACCTAAAAAGTTGTATTTGCCAAATTCATAAACGTGCAGAGACGCACAGTAAATACACAGGCGCGGACTATGGATAACACGTTATACTTCGTACTCGACATTATGTATACCGTTTTTAGAAGCCGTGAAGCTTCCTCAAAGGCTCCTTTAATGCACTTCAGCGCTGCCCGTCTGTCCTACGCTATTTCATGGTTTGTCTTCATGCCGTAGAAAGCAGAAGCTCGTGCTGGCCTCAGCGGCTGCGGGGTTCTACTGCAAGGGACAAACATGCAATGTCACAGAGGCCAAGACAAACAACAAAGACCAAGAAACATGGGACAAAAAATGATCTCCAAGACAGTCATATTGAGGTATGTGCTTGTTTACACTCCTACGTCGGTTCTTTGCTGCCCTTGAGCATCTTCGGCTTTCCTGCAGCAGGCGGTGATTGAAGATGTGCAGCCCTGGAAAAACATGTTCCGCCCAGCATGCTCTTTGCCACCAAAGGAGAATAGTTTCACCTTGGAAGTGAGGAGCGCCAGCCGTTCTGCATTGCTGTTGCTGGACGAGTTGGGTGCGTTATAGTTTCTACACGTACGCAGGATGAATCTCTCTCAGCTGCTATGGAGAGCATCTTATCCTCTCTCACGGTGTCGGACCCTCATGAGGAAGGCAATCCTCTTTGTTACGTCAGTCCCGGTTTCCTGTCCATGACTGGGTACAATGAGGACGAGTGCCTGGGAAGGAATTGCAAGTTTTTGCAGGTGGGGTTCGTTCGGTGTTGTTTGTTCTCGCTTTGGATTCCACGGCACGGGGGGGACGTGTATATCCATCGAGGCCATCGTACCCAAGCGTAGTGCCAAGGGAAGAAGCCAAGGGAGTACCTTATATCTGTGCGCTGTACCCAACCCTGCTGCATTGCTACGCAACATTTCCGTGTTGAACGAATGACATATTGCCTCATTGTGACTTGCGGTTGGCTTCATCGACTATTACATTGAGTGAGCAAGCATAACCTTACAAATCTCCTTATGAATATCAGCTTTGTGCCGTGGGCCCCACCACTTCCTTCAGGATGGTAAGCTTGACCCTTCTACGCACGAAGCGCTCCGTTCCGCCATCAGCGAACGACGCTTTGCAACGGTGGAGGTGACCAATTTTCGCAAGGGTGGCCGGCCCTTTCAAAACTTGCTCAGCCTTTTGCCAGTGTTTGGCGAAGACGGCGCCTCGCTACTGCATTTTGTGGGTGTCCACTGCGACTTGGACGAGCGCCGGCGGCGGGGCGAGACTGTGGACGACGCATTCGTGGCGAAGTGGGAGGAGCACTTGAGGAATTGTCTTTCTGCTTTCGCAATTGTGGATGTAAGTAGAGTCGGCTCATCCGGCTGCCTCGAGATAAGCCAAGCTCAGTCACAGCCCCCAAAGCTCACAGGAGGTGCTGACGGCATCAGTAGCTTAGCCACCGCTGCTGTACCCACGGCCCCACAGCCAAGTGCGGCGCTTTGTGCAGTCTCTCCCGGTTTTACTGCCTTAACTGGGTACAGCCAGTCGGAAGTCATGGGCTGGAACATGCTGTGCCTATGTGGTCCGGAGACAGCGGAGAAGGAAATGCGCAAGCTCATCACCTCTCAGTGGGCGCACTCATCCGTAGCTGTTAAGATGCTGTGCTACAAGCGCGATGGCACTCCCTTTTGGGCGCTGGTGCTGAGCTGCCCGCTGTCCAGCAGCGTCCATGCGAATGGGGCTCGTGGTGCAGGAGCGGCAGCCAGTCAGGCTACAACGCAGACACCGAGTCCTGTAGCCAAGACGATCGCAGTGAAGCCCACCTCGGGCCGCTATAACCAGCCACAAGGCATCAGGGCCGGTGGACTGGGACTAGGACTGGGGTTTTTCGGGGGTTTGACGCCTGGTGGGGTTCCGGGGGGTGGCCTGCTTAGCGCCTGGAGCACGCACGGTGGAACGGTTTCAGGAGCGGTGGCTCAAGGAAGCAGCCCTTCTGGATCATTTTTTGTTAAGTACTGCCTGTGTTGTATTATCGACATCACTGCACAGCGATTAAAGAAACTTGCCGGGGGCAAGTACGTGCTGGGCAAAGTGATTGGTGCGGGGGCCTTTGGTCTGGTGCGCATCGGAAAGAACACTGCCACAGGTAAGCTCCTTCTTTGCTCCCTCTTTAAGGTGGTGTCCAAATGTGTTTCATTTCGTTCCATAATGCGTGAGCAGCGTGTATTTGGTCACATCAAACCATAGACGCTATTGCATTGCCTGAAAGTATCCAGCTGTACGCGCATGTGTGGTTTTGCATGCGCCCATGTTCTGCCACGTTTGGCCGTCCATATGTAAATCCCAGGAGTCGAGCTTGCCTCTGCGGGTTCTCATAATCTTTCGTCCGTGTGTGCCTTGGCGGCGCCTTACAGAAGAGCTGGTGGCGATCAAGAGCGTTGACGCAACACGGTTCCGAAATATCACCGAGATTGACCAAATCCAGGAGGAAATGTCGGTCTTGTCCTCCCTGAAGCATCCGAACATCATACGCCTATACGATGTACACTTCCAGTCCAATACGTTTTTCCTCATTATGGAGTTTGCCGGTAACGGCTCTTTGGTGCATTTCATGCACACCCACGGAGATCCCGTTAAGCACTCGCTGGACGAGGCCACTGCAGCGCGCGTGTTTGTGCAGATGGTTTCGGCGCTGGACTATTGCCACCGCAGGTTGGTCAATAAGAGGACATGGTTGCCTGACTGATGTAACAGGAAAGTCACTCGCTCTGGTCTGGTGTTATTTTGATGAGGGGCGCGTGCTCCAGCCTTGAAGGTGCTGTACCGCGCAAGCACTAATTATGTGCAACAGTGGCCTTGGAGTAGTGCAGATTTTCGTCAGCACTGATATATTTGTGCTGGTCTCGTTAGTCAGTGTTAGCGCTATGGGAGGGTCCATTTATTGCAAATCTTAATTTATGTGTTTAAATGCAGGCGCGTTATCCACCGCGACCTGAAGCCTGAGAACATCCTCATGGATGAGTACTACAATCTAAAGATTGCGGACTTCGGGCTGGCGGCCGTTGCGGCGCCATTCAGCGGCGGCCTTACTCTGCAGGTGATTGTGTATCGAGATATGTATTCAGGTATGAATATGACCCGCATCCGTGAAAGTTCCATGTAACGTTCTGCCTCCGGTGCAGTGTGGCACACCTGAGTTTACGGCACCGGAGATCACTGTGGGCCGGGAGTACGATGGCCCCAGCGTGGACATATGGAGCATGGGCGTAATCCTGTACGAGGCCCTGTGCGGGGCCCTCCCTTTCAAGGGCACCACCCAAGCTGGCCTTTTTAAAGCCATCCAGCGGTAAGAAAATGTCTGCCGGCCACATCAGGTCAATTGGGTTGAAGTCAAGAACATAACGCCATTTCACCGCCTCTGATTTACCCACCGTTCCATTTCTCGAACAGCCCAACCCACACCAATGTTGCAGGGGGAGTTTCGACCCTCTACCCATGTACATCAGCTCCGAATGCAAGGACCTGGTTCGGCGGATGCTGTTGGTGGACCCTCAGGCGCGCATTACTATGGATGAGATCTTGCGCCACCCCTGGGTTGCTAAAGCGATGGCCAGCGACGGAGCTGACGGAAGGGTGGCAACGCCCACAATGGGGCCCAGTCCCACGACCGGCGGGTCTGGACCAGTTGGCTTGTCCGGTGGAGGTGCAGGTGGGGCCGTTGTTGCCACTCTCCTGCACACCTTTTACACGCAGAATCCGATAGTCTCGCGTGCAGAGAAAAGCTGGATTGAATTTCGGTATGGTTTTTCCAGACTATGTACTGATGTGCTAGGCTGCTGCTGGCTAAAGCGTGTGCAAAAATCTCCGTACATGGCGTTCCCTTTGTTTCTGCCACAGATGCACCATCGCGCATACGGCTTCAGATGGGTAACGAGGCTGCATCGAACGATGATGATATTTCCTGCGGTGGTGTTGGCGATAGTGACAGCAAGGGGAAGGATGTACAAGCTGGCTTGGCCGCCGAACGTGACAGTTGTGCTACGGATGGATCGGAAGCACGTGTCGGCATCACTGCTAGCGACAGCGATGGGTCTGGCCATCAGAGGGTCTTCGCCCAGGGATCAGTTGTGTCGTCACCTTGCGCTGCGAAGGCGGCTAATGTCCTGGCCTCATCATCGGTAGACGGTGACTCCATGGAGCCACCCGTCCCGGGCTCACCAGTGGCTCTATCAGGGATGACCAGCGCTGCGGACAGCTTGCACGACTCCGTCAAGCTTGTCCTCCCAGCCCACGTTAACAGAGGTGTTCAGGCGCGGCGTTGACACAGGACCGGCCTTTGTACAATAGCCTAGGAACACGGCGGATGTTCTTGCCGTACATTTACACAACCGTATCCCACTGTTGTGCCAATATCATAGTCCGTCTGTCCGCACGAACGTTTTATGTCGCAAGTACCTTGGCAGTCGCCATGTCACATAATGTGTCTCACCATGCCCCGCAGATGACCCTATCCTCGCGGCCCTGCTGCGGCACGCACACGCTGGCGCAGATGTGAGCTCGTGCACGGCGTCCCGACCCAGCGAGGGTGAGGACGCGGATTTGCACTTGCAGCGCAGCGCAGCTTCCTACTCGACCAACGTGCCACACGGCGCCAGCATGGGTGGAGCGGCTGGTCCACGCCGCGATGGCGCTCCTGGGTCTCGTGGCGGCATCAGCCGGAGCATAGGCGGAGCTTCCTCGGTAGCCGGGGGAAGCTTGCATGGCCAAAACCAAGCAAATGGGAAAGCGCGCGGGAGCATTCTTTTGCCTACGTTGGGCACAACGAGCGGAAATGCAGCTGGGATCAGCATTATCGACAGGTGCGTTCTCCTGGTCTGTGCAGCATGCTGTGTGAGAGCGGCAACGTCTGGCTGTTGTGGCCCCTGCGGTTACGACGTCATATCGTCAGCACCATTGCATCAGTTGCAAACTGTACGTAGCAGCAATAATGGAATTCAATCAGTGGGGTGTATGAACGCCGCCACGTTCCCGCAGTAGTTGCCACATTCCCAATGCAAATCTGATGCTCACGGAAGCTGCTCGGTCAATCAAGCAGCCCGTAACGGTTGCGTATCTCCTTACCAATCCAGCAATCTGTTTGAGTCCTTTGAATATTGTACGAAAATGCAGGTTGATATGTGTCTTTGGCTCTCGACGAATGCCTGGGTATATCACGGGATCATACTACGCTTCAATTTGCCACTTGGAACATTTAGGTTGCGAACAGGTTTTGTTAGGCAGGAGTTCTTTGTTAGTTATGGAATCATTCCTTCGTTCTGTAGCTCTGGAACTCTGTACGTCGCTTTCCGAGGAGGGCTTCAGGACGTGAGAACGCATTTCTGACTAGGCTTCGAAGTTTTGACTGCACTGCTGTACGTGCGCCTATGTTTATAATTGCGCTGCAGGAGGATGCACGAACCGACTTGGCTTCGTTCTCCTGCTCGGACTGGTCAGGCCGGAGGTACAGGGCGGGTCACCAGCACCATGACAGCGTCCATCGGCGGTCGTACGCAGCCTGGAGCATTACAACAACCTGGCTTACCTGCCACAACCATAACATCCGCCCTCGGCGGGAACATGCATTCCATCGCTGAAGGGAGCGGCAGGCAGCTCCCACCCATCCAAGCCAATCGAATGCCGGGGAAGAAGGCAAGCTGGCTGACAATAGATTCCCGGTAGCTGCTTAACAGTAAAAGATTCGAGTGCGTTGGCTGCGACAGCGGAGCCGAAATGGGCACCAAGGCATTCGGCAGCTGATTTGCTGCGCCTGGAGCTTTTATGATGAAAAGTGTGCAAATGCGGGCGTCACCTATGTGAACGTTTGCTGACTCGCTTAAGCTGACTCTCCTGGTGATTGATCTTTCGGCCGAATGCATGGCCCCAAAAGGATTTGGTGCAGAAGGATTAGGATCATCAGGATTATATTGTTCCGTTGTCAAACCGGTTACAATGTTGGAAGCCTATGTAGGTATCACCGTACCTGCATAAGTGTGCAACCCTTAGAAGGGGGCCCCAGGGGAAATGTTTTCTGATCATATCCTTTATTTAATCATTCAGACCAGCTGGACTGAAGAACTGGCTCAGCTCTACGGTTCCTTAGCTGAATTTTGCCGTACATGCATCATTGTCCACCAAATCGAACCCTGAAACCACGGCTTCTTTAATACAGTTACAGTGCCCGCACAGGCGAGGGCGGGCCATGGACCCAATAGTATCGTTTTTCCACATGAAAGGAAACGTTCACTACTGCACCGGCATCGAAGTGAGGCATTTGCCCCTGCGTTTCGGACAGTCATCTCTGCGTTCGTACATATTTCAGCGTGTATAGTCTCTTCATGACCGCGTGGGGCCAGCCTACGGCTAAATGCTCTCAACCACGGCAATCAGCTATCCCTCCTACCAGCCTGCAAACCCAGTATTGCAGCCAGTGGCATCATCAAAGCCACCATCCTTGTGCACCAGAATTATGAGGTGTCACAGCGCTTTTGGCAATTCTGCCGCTGGGCTTGGTTGCCAGCTAACATTTCGTTAGCAATGCCTGGAACTCGGCCGGGTCCACCATGTAGCACCACGGTATGGTTCCAGGAGGGTAGATATCATGGCTTGGGAACGCTATCTTGAGGGGGCCTTGGTCGCACCATCATTTGTCTGCCAAGCCCACCTTCACTCACGGACAGCTCTTTTACATTCCTAGGTATCTCTTTATTTCCGCAGGCCAGTACCCCGCTTGCTCCAGATGGTTTTCCATCCTTCAAATGGAAGTCACAGGTCCTTTGCAGGGAGTTCACACGAGAGAGCCACAACACCCAAGTACGTGACTGCATGTTGCCCTGCTGATTCTGTCGCCACTGTGCCGAGCGCCCCATCACAGTGCAGGTGCTCGGCACATCCACGCGAGATAACCCCACGCAGGTGTAACTTCTTTGAACGCCACTCACATTCGCCATCCACATAAGTGATTAGGGTAATTAAGGTGATTAGTGGTGGGCTGGGAAAGCCAGGGACCAAAACTGAAACACCGTGCGAGGGCCGGGCTTGCATAGCACAAGTCCTAGCACAAGTCCTAGCCTTGTGTGCTCCCTACCCTAATTAAACGGGACGCAGTCACTTAGCAGCCTCCGCCCACAAACACCAGCTAGGGCAAAGGCCCCATGCAGTCCCCAACCCTCCCACTCAACAGGAAACGGCCGAGATGTCCCGGACCGGGGAAGCCTCCTGCAGCAATAGACAGGGATAAACAAAACTTAGGGAAGGTGTAGAGAGCTAGAAACCAGAAGACGCCTCTTAGCAACCCACAGACTACTACCTCCACTCCCTTCCTGGGCTGGTCAAGGGACGATGCAATGAAAACCCAAACCCGAAACTGGGACAGCGCAACAGCCTGCTCAACAACGCGGATACCAGGGGTAGGCGGGCAAAACCGCTAACAGGAGGTCTCCGCAGTGACACACAGCTCACAGCTTCAACAGAAGTCAACAGGGGGAGGACAGTAGCCCGCTCGGCACCTCCCCTTTACTGTTGCTAGGCAGGATGTATGTATGTGGAGGCCGATACAAGAGAGCCCTAGACCAAACCATGCATGGTCTATGCAAGCCGAGGGCCATAGACCCGTAAAGGGAGCTTGGTAGAAAGTAAAAAGAACGGAGACAAACAGCTTAGCCCAAGCGCTTAATTAAAAGCTCTCAGTTAGGACCAGTACTTGGGGAATATGTTCCATTATTTATCACTTCTAAAGACCCTGGTAATCATCTTGTGTTTCTGGTGAAGCAGCTGGCCGCGTTTATTGCGGCTTTGCAGGATGACCGGTGGGGGTAGTGGCTTGCTGTGCATAACGAGCGTGAAGGAGAACGGTAGTGCGCAGTCTGCAGCATAGGAGGCGCCAGCGTGTGTGCGTATGTGGAAGTGTTACGTGGGTGGATATGGACAGCTTGTTGAGACGGCCGGATGCACATCACATCCGTTTACACGTTCGTTAAGAAGGGAAAATGCATGGCGCCCCGGCACTGTCGACGACACAAATTTTTTTTGGAACTGCGGTGTCACTTTAGGGCACGGTTGTGCAGTGAGCGGCGGGGATGTAGGCAGGTCTTTTGGCGCCAAAACAAGCGGGCGGCTGTGGTGAATGCAAGTTGAGACCAGTCTTTCCTTAAAGAAATCAACGCACGCTGCTTGAGGGCCCTGCGAAACACACCTGATGCGCCAGCAACATGCAGCAACCGTTGCGCGTCTTAATAATAGCGCACTGCTATCATCAGCCTGCCACGCCGACAGAAGCTGCATGTGCCCAGGTTTATGGCAGCTTGCATAACAAATTGCGGGTGCGACGCGAAGTGCACTCTTGCGTACGGCTTAAGTCGCAAGTCGCAACTCCCAACTCGCAACTCGCAAGGAACTCACAAGATTTCTATTATCCTTTTTACGCGAATACATACGTGAACCACGCCTGTAGGGTGTAAACACAGCGCATTTGTGGCGTCCGCGTCTGCGGGCTATGGCCGATCGCAGGCGCAAATATGCTGAAGTGGCTTGCGGCCTATGTGGCTTCGTCTGTCTGAGCAATGCAATGTAGCTGTTCATACACACAAGCTCACTCAGGCCTCATCTAGTAACAACGTGCAAGTTCTTATCAGTATTTGCTTATGGGCCTTCTGGTGGGGTTCCGACGACTTTCGCCAATTGGGGAGTCTAATGGCAAATTCCCCTGTGGTTGCGGGTTCTGAGCCTGCCCTTGGATTTGCTTGTGGCTGTCTAGGCGACTTGCGTTGTCTGGTCTGGGTGGGAGTCTTGTTTGCCCTCATCGTATTAGGTGCAGTGCACGGCCTGCTGGCCCGCTGGCTGTACTCTTTGTGAGTCTGGAGCCCACTGTAACAACCACACTGCCTCGAGGCATCCCTAGCCCCAGCGGTGAACTGATAGGAACTAGCCTAGTCCGCATAAGTTCCGCACAAGTGCGGGGATGTCCGTAAAAGCCGGGGGCCCCATGGGCGGTAAATCGTTTTTAGGGCGGTTACGTGGTGGACCATCATCGTCCACCCTCGTCCGCTTGAGCATGAAGCGCCTTAGAGCAACGTGCCGGGTCTCCCAGACTTCCGAGAGGAACCTGGCTAGTGCCAGGGGTGGGGCCTTCGGTCATAATCGTGCGCATGTTGCACCCTTGAAACGCGAGGTCACGTTCGTACTTAGCCCATGTACTAGTGTACGCCGGGCATTCCACAAAGACATGCATTTCGTCTTCAACCGCCCCGCAGTCACAAAGCCACCAGGTGCACGCTGTGCACTCATGGCCGTTAGGTCGGTTAATTTCTAACTCCCAACAGCCTAACCGGAAACGTATAAGCATTTGATGCAAACGTTGGGACATGGCAATTTCAGGTGGTCATTATGGATTTCAGCATGAACAATGAACCCTGCCTGCTCCCGCGCCAGTTGCGGGCAAGCAACAGTGAGAGACCGAGCTTTCTATTAGGGCCCGGTGCCTTAATAGGGAGGGGTAGGGTCTGTACAGAGCTTCTGGGTTTCCTCGGTCTTCGTGAACCCTCACCCCAAGAGCCAGTCTTCTTGTGTGTTTCAGGCTCAAACTCACGTGACGGAGCCGGGGGAGGAGAGCGGAACTAGCGGACCTGCGGCTCTCGGCTGCTTAGGAGGGACAGAGGCCCCTTACGCCCCTCTCCCGGGAGGAGCTTAGGTGGTCTTTCCGTTGGGGCTGGGCAGCAGTCCCTGGCCAGTGTCAGGCCCAGTCAAATACTTGCAACACACGCACACGCGCACACGCACACGCACACACACGATATTGAATTGAATTGAATTGCTACAGAGTGGGAGGCTTCTGGGGCATTTGAACATATTGGCACACAAGCTCACGATAGGCCAGCTAAGCTGATTCCCGTGCCTCTGATGCCCTGGTAAAAACCTTCTTGCGGACATAACCCTGCTCAGACGATGCATGGCTAATATCAGGGACGTTCCAATGAGTGCCCAGTAAGTTTGCCAGAGCCAAGGCCAGGTCGGTGAGCAATGGATGGTCATCAGCCTGTACCAGCTCCATAAGCGCTTATGCAACGACTTCATCAAACTTGCGTGGCTTGCGTGTTCCTGATTTGTCCTCTAAGCGGCAGGATATCGCCATTCGCCAGGTGGGAGCATGCACAGTCCTCTCGCAAGGTCTGTGCCCGAAAACTTCAGCTATTTGCGCTTGCGTGTAATTCTCATCGAAATAGAGGTGGCAAACACGTTCGCGCACTCAGCCGGCGGAGACGGGCATCGGCGCGGGGACGGCTGGCATGGCGGCAGTTCAGCTGGAAGAAGAGGAGGACTACTGTGTTATTGTGGAGTAGTCATATAGCGGTGTGTATGTTTGATAGCTGTGTTGAGACATTAGCCCCTTTGTGTTTTTAAGAACTGAGCCGCGAGCGAGGGTGTTGATCGGCGAGCCGTTATCCCCATTGTTGTTTGTTTTACCAACGTGTGTTTTTGTAACAAAGCAAAGGCGTAACCCGGGATGCTCAGTTGGGCCTTGCGTCGTTACATTGCCCCCCCTTTAGCAATGGACGTCCGCGGCCATTATATCGAGCATTGGAGCCATCCCACCTCACGCATTGTGCGCTGGTTTATCCATTACCCATGATATCGCTTTCTGCGATACCTGCTTGTTGTCAGAATCGAACCACCGACCCGAAGATTTCATCGGAAGTCGTGCGGCCCCGTCTCGATACCATTGTAACAAAGCAAAGGCGTAACCCGGGATGCTCAGTTGGGCCTTGCGTCGTTACAGTTTTGCTTTCCTGTTTTGTGGCGATGGCAAACTTTACTGGCATTGCGTCGCGCGACGCGTGGTTTTCGCGATGCAAGCAGATGGCTCGGGTCCAGGACAAACTCCATGGCTTTGTTTATTTCCGTTTACAGCTAGGTTTTCTGTATTCCTATAAGTCTATTTCTGGGCCTGATGCTGTGTCCCGGGACGGTCGCGCTTTCATGGCACCAGCAACTGCGGTGGCGCCTTGCAAGTTCAGCCCAGTTTGAATGCCCCCGCCTTTCTTACGTCCGCTAGTCATTTTCATTGTCGT